TTGTATGGCAAAGCGTCAAGTACAAAGGGACCTCTCTGCAAGCTGGAAAGGGAAGCTTGGTTTGCAATGGAGGAAACCGCAGAAAGGAAAAACAGTAAAGGAAACGCAAAAATGAAGCGATGAACAGCAAGAGCAGGACATGTATACGTCGAATACGAGCAACCACAATCAAGAAGAAAGAAAAGTAAAGTAAAGTTAGCCCTTCCCCTTCCCCTTCCCCTTGGCATTGGGAGTGAAAGAGTCAAACCCAGAAAACCAAATATTGAATTTTAGGCGGGTCGGGTCGGGTTCGCCGAAAAAGGCTAAACTGGGCAGGCATCTAACACCGTTAAGATGGGGGGCAGAGGAATGATCTTTGTCGTTAATGCCATTAATTCGACAACTGGCTCGTAATCATTTGGAGCAAAAGGAAAAGGCATAACCAAAAAAACGGTGAAAGTAAAAGGCAATTGTGCAGACCAAAAGAAACGGGGGAGAGGAGAGGAACGAACATGGAAACCAACAAAACAAACCAAACCAAACCAAACGAAAAAAAAAGATGAATTTTTCCTCTCTAGAATCTTAGATATGAAATCTGTTCATTCACCATTAAGTGGAAAAGAGAAAACCCAGAATTTGAAGCATGTGTTCTTCGGAAAGACGTGGGTAATTTTGATGGAAACTAAAAAGTCAGTGGGAATGGATTTGTAAACCAAAGGAAGGAGACAATTGGGTCAACTGAAACTCAACCTGTTTTTGGGAATTGATTTTCTTTTTCTTTTTGGTTTTGGTTTTGCATTAATTAGTTTGGGATTTTGAAAGTAAAGAAGAAATGAAAGAGTGAGCAGTCCATCAATTATAGCGGCAATTAAAGGAAGCCGGCGTGAGGATTGGATTGGAAACGACTCAACCTTTTGCCAAACTCAATTCTTATCGATATCATATTCTTGACCACGTAAAGACGACGTGTCGTTCCAACAACGCCCAACTGTGCAATCGACATGCCGACTCTACCGTCACTACACTCTCGTCTCAAGTCTTTCCGGCTAAATTATCCAAAAAAAAAAAAAAACACCCCTTTTTATCTTTGAAAACTTGGTAAATATATCAAATTTTATCCCAAACTTTTAATTTCCATCTTTATCTTAGATACAGATAGGTGTTACAATTTTTATACTGAATAATCGTTAAAAAAAATATTACCTTGTGTATTTTCTGAATTATAAAATACATGTCGAGAACTCACTTTTTTTTTAATTTGTGGTTTTAAGAGAGTTATTTAATAGATCTTGTGTATTATATTAGATTTAATTTTCTGAAAATATAATTTCCACTTATATTAGTCACTTTTGAAAGTTTTTTATCCTTCTTTTAGTTTTAATTATTGAATAAACAGAAATTGAATTAAAAGTAAAAACTGTCACACTTATTTAATTTAAGTTTGTAAAAAGTATCGTTCAAGGGTAAATGTTAAATTTTTTTTCTTTCTCTTTTGTTTAGTTTAATTATGCGATTATCTGTAAGTTTGTAATAATCCCACTCCTCAATTTTGATTTGATGAATCATTTCTAATTTAAAGATTATTTAAAACGTTATAAGATTTATGTGTGAAAAATGGGAATTTTAGGTGAAAGGGGTCGTGATAATTTGGTTTGATTTCGTATTCTTTCAAGTTTATTTCACATTTTCTTAAAAAAAAAAATTTATTTTATGTCCACCCAACCTTTTAATTGCAAGACTTTAAATTACGTTGAAAATCATTTAATTTTGATCAAATGGATTCACTTTGGTTTTAGTTTTGGCTGAAATGAAAATAGCAACTAATTTACGTTAATTGTACTCAATGATCCATGAAAAACCCACTTCATCTTTTTTTCCTTTTATTTTCATCCCAAGAAAAGTTTGTCCATAAGCATTTTTTCTTAATATTTTCCTTTTAAATAAAACACAAATTCCTTTAATGATCAATAAATTACCTCTTAAGGTACATCACATTATATGTATCTAATCTTTAAATAAAATCATAACAAAGTCAAAACGAGCATAGTTCAGTGATATAAATGGAATAAGAAGATTATTATATTGAGATCGTAAAAGATATTATTAACACACCGAGAACATACTTTTTTAAGAGTATAAAGAAGGGGAAGATGTTTAAATCAACTAGTTGAATTAGGTTCAAAATGGACTGTTACTCTATTTTTTTTTAATAGTAATTCTTAGTTCATCAACTTTACATAAAACTATTCTCTCAATCTTTCTCATTAATTTTATATACATTATTTGGTAGAAAACTCAAAATGGCATGCCTTTTGTTAATTAATGTTATAAGTAGATATTCACGTGTAGAAGTGTTTAAGTTTGTTTTGTGAAAATGAAAATCACTCTTTGTATTTCTTTATTTTACCATTACTTTTTAAAAACGTTTGGAAAAAGTTAAAAAAATTATTTTCAAAAATTACTTTTTTTATTTTTGAAATTTGGTTAAAAATGTAAATATCTTTTTAAGAAAAATAAAAACATTCTAAGAAAATGGTGCAAACAAATATAATTTTTAAAAATTAAAAACTAAAAACGAAATTGTTATTAAATGAGATCTCAAAGATTGAGTTTCAAAACAAGATCCAAGTTTTTACTAAAATAATTAATAAAAAATATTAGTGAAGATGAATAAAATAATTCTGCATGGAAAATTAAAATACATATAATGATTAACATTAAAAAGTTTAGGCATCAGAGATGGAATTAAAATTTAAGAGCTAAATCAAAATAAAATAATTATACCTATTTTACCCCTTTGTAATCTTTAAGCTAAACAAAATATCTTAAAACCATAGGCCAAGGTAGAATTGCTTATCATTTTCCCTACCCTTTCTATTAAATTTGCACCTAAAAACATTCTCAGATTAAAACATTTTAGTTAAATTTTAAAATAGCCACTTTTTTTATTTTTTTAAGTAGAACAAATGCGAACAAATCATTTTGATCTTATATCATGATATAAGTTAGCAGTTTTTATTGTATCGGACTAAAAAAAGGATAGAATGAGACAATTATGATCAGGTTGACTCTTTTTCATAAATTCGATAAATATTGAAAAATAAAAAAGAAAACAACTTAGTATCTCCCTGACCTGCGTAAAAAAAGAAGCAAGGAGAAGAAACAAATGCTAGAGAACTTTCGAATAAATTTGTTTCCCTTTTGATTAGGTTTTTTTGTATTGTAAAACCTCTCCTTACTTTTATGTTCCATATTTTTGTAGGTAAGTGTATTTTTGTGTACCAGTTGTTAGCGGACTCTAGCCTGATGTATTTATTGTGGATGTTTTTCAGAGTTATCTCATGACTTTTCTCTTTACGCCGAGAGACTTTTCACGTAATTCTCGGTGTCTTAGCAAAGGCAAGCTTAAACAAGCATCAATTCGAGAGGGTTGAAAAAAGAAGCTAAATTTCATTGCATCGAAACCCAAATATTCTCCTCACATTTGACATTACATTACAAACACAAACAAGCAACTCTCGTAGTGCTCACTTTCCCGGCACAAAGTTAGTGGCATAGGCCCAAGCATTGTTGTTAACAGGATCAGCCAAATGGTCGGCCAAGTTTTCCAAAGGCCCCTTTCCGGTGACAATGGCCTGTACGAAGAATCCAAACATCGA